TTTTTTGGCCCCTTCTGCTGGTCGCCCTTGGCCAAGCAGTTCGGGGCGGGGCCTCTGCGGCGACCGCGCTTGATTGAGCGCCCTCGTCCGTCGCCTGAACCTCGTCCTTTACCTCTGCTGCCCATGTGGGTGCCGTCGTCGCGCTCGCGTTCGCGCTCGCGGTTGGTTGGCTGGTCCTGCGACTGGCTGTGCCATCCGGAGCTCCGTTCAGAACCTTGCCACTGCTGTTTGCCCCGCTGGATTCCGTAGCCGTCTCAGCCGCCGCCCCAATCGCCGCGGTCGCGCCGGGGTCCGCCGCTCCACAATCCACCAATGTCGTCTTGATAACTCTAGACTTGCCCTTTCTTGGCCATTCTGCTCAATCGTCCGGTGATGCCGCCGTCTCGACTGAGGTCCCCATGCGCTCTCAGCTTGATGCATTCGATCTTTTATTGAGGCCGCCCACGCCCAGAAGCCGATGCACGCGACCCCCTGATGGCGTTGATCTCTTGGCCTGGCACCAGCGTGGAACCCTTGATCATTGCAATCAGACCGCTACCGATTCGTCCGGTTTGTTCTAGGTGCGCCACCGTGCCGACATGTTCTGGAAGCACTTTAGCGCCGTGGAGCGCTGCGATCCTGGCGCCAAGCCTGGCGGCGCATCCCGCTTGGATTCTTCCAGGGAGTCCGTGTGCAAATCAAGGAATTACCGATGCTGAAGTTCCTTGATCTGATGAGATACTGTCGACTAGTGGTGCTCGTGTGATTCGGCAGCTTGAAATCTCAGGGTCCGCGCGCTCGCCCTCGAGGGAGAAATCGTGGTGATTGGCGATGTTCAGGGGCGTTCTGCACCTCGTCGCGCAGCGCAAGACCAGATTCCAGACGGCGCAGATGCCCGCGATCCGCTCGATGAGCTTAGTCTCGGGTGTCGCGCTGGCGCGCGCGGGGTGGCTGGGCGCCCCTCTGCCAGAGCGCGCGTCTTATTTATCTTGGGCCGCGATTCGCGTGGCGGTCGAATAAGTGTCCTGTCGCCCCTTATCCAGAAGGCTTTCAGGAACGAAGGCTCTAGACCATGTATCTGCTCTGGTGGCGGGGGGGTGGCTCGGTTGTGCTTCCTGAAGGCCCGAGGCCGAGCGGGGGGGCCGGGGGGGTGGGGAGGGGGAAAAAGAGGATGAACACACGGGGGGGCGCGGACAAAGGGCCGGGGGCGCCTGGGCGCGCGGGAAATCCAACTGTCGCGCCGTTCTCGGCAATCGCGCCGTCCATTTCGGCGCGCCGGTCGCGGCGATCGCTGCGTCATGAAAGGGTTCGCGTGCTGTCTCATTGGGAAATGCCTCCGTTGTTGGAACGCGCGTTTTACGTTTCGTGTCCCCGTCGGAATCTCCACCTGCGGCCGCTGGGGAACTCCGCATTGCGGCGCCGACCATTCCGGGCGCCCGTCGCGAAGACCGTGGCCTTATAGGAACCTTCGCCTACGGCCCCACTTGGGAATTCCGCATGGCGGCGCCGCCAACTTCGGTTCACCCCTCGCGAAGATCGCCCCCCGGTGTGGAATTCCGCCTGCGGCCTTGGTGAAACATATGCATGCGTGCGCACTTCCGCAAGATTGGGCACATCCGTCACACGAACCTCAATTGCGGCCCCAGTTGGGGGCGTCGCACGCATTTCCCCGCGCATTCACGACCGCAGACAGAGCCCCACCGCCAACGGCCCCAGTGGGGGGGTCCGCATGGCGGCGCCGCCTTTCATCTGGATCGTGGCCCCATAGGTAGCCCCGCCCGCCTACAGCCCCAGTTGGGGGTCCGCATCGCGGCGCCGCCCATGTCGGCGCATTTCTCGATCGTGGCCCCGTGTGGAGTTCCATCTGCAAGCCCAATGGCCAAGTCCGCACGACGGCGCTGCCCATTTTCGTCACACCTCTCACGGGGATGGCGCCCCCGCGCGGCTTAGTTCCACGTGCGACCAGAGCAGGGCAATTTGCATGCGCACCCCCTTGACTTTTGGCCCATCCCTTACACGGATCGCGCATGCATCATTGCATCACCAGCGTTGCATGAACCTTCTACGGGTTAAGCCCCTCGCTGGGCAAATGTGCTTAGGATTTTGTTGAACGGTATGGTGGGCCCAACATGTGCCGTCACATGCCAAAACCAACTTTGAAAAAAAACAATGTGTTACAACAACTTTGGGGACAATGCCAAAGGGCGAACTGCCCCTGCGACGACGAGGGCGACGTCCGACGTAGCCGGGCGCCCTCCGCAAAGGTCTCCACCATGGACGCCTTTGGCGACCTCTGCAATCATTGAGCACTATCTGTTTTCGGCTTGTTGGTCCTCCGCTGGGAAGTCAGAAGCGTCGGGGAGCCGGATTCCGTTGTCACTGTGGCTCGAGCCGTTGGGCTTCTGGCTCGAGCACGCCATCTTTCCGAACGAACCTGGGTGTCGCCTGCGTCGTCGGGGCCAGAATGGATGCGGACATGGCAATGACATGGCGGTCGTGCGCGTCCTCGTGTACCGGCGGGTGCTGACGAATCCCGCGAGAAACGTAGCGCAACTGTCACTGACACTGATCTCTGCGAGGGCGCCCAACGCAACAGTGAATATTCTCTGCTAGAGAATTCTGCGAACAAAAGCGACAACAATCGAAAGGAGCCGCGGGGGTGTCGGACACCGAACGGGAAACGGCCGAAACCTGAACTGATATCAGCGTGCGGGTTAAGATATCTCGCGCGAACTAATGTGTTTTGCTTGCTGCATGAAGAGACGCATGAAAAAAATAATACGGACACCGCGAACATACAGCACACCAGACACTTACATTTGATCAGCCAATCCCGAGCGGAAACTGTATTTCCTCGCAATATTTGGCTGTAGTAAATGATTCTAATGAGTGGAAACCCACCTCCCCGCTCAGTAGCCTGCAGCTCCCCGCCCGCCAGGCCCCGAGGAACTCGCATGCCTTTGCGAATGAGGGTCTGCTCGATATCAACTATCACCGCCGCGCGGCTAAAACACGCACGTGACGCATCGAATACTCAATTCTCTGTTGTCTGTGGGGACAAGCAATCCTGGCGCACGGCCCAGCAGTCTGCAGCTGCTTGCAAGGCAGGGCGTGGCGCTCTCCTAATCTGCTCCGCGCTGCGAGATAGATGGGATGCGGCTCCCTGTGGATCACGATCCGTGTGAATGGTTCGCCGAAATCGGGAGGTGGCATGTGCGTGCGCCTACCAGGGCGTTGCGTGGAACTCTGCGTGGAGTTCCCCATGGGGTCACGCAAGACCTGATGGTTGTGTCACAATGGGGGAGAGGGCGTTGGTGTGCCACAGTGCCACGTGCCGATTGGGGCCGTGGATCTCCCTCTGGGGGGCATGACGCGTGTGGGGGGCGTGCCAACATGGGCAGGGGGCTGCATTAGAGGAGCAAACAACTACATGAACATAAACTTTTGGCGGTCCGCGCGGATTTCTTGGATCTGAGCTGGAGCCCCCTCGCTGGCGCGCGGAGCGCGCCAGAGGCGGCGGTGGAGGCGCCGCGGGGGGGGTCCCAGCGCGGATCCAAGAAATCCGCGCGGACTGGCAAAAGCTACTGTTTATAGCGCTGTTCCTTCTTCGATGCACGCAGCTGCGCCCACTGGGGCCGCAAGTGAAGGTTCCCGTGGGGCACGAGACGTGTGATCCGTGTGCCGACCTGGGAGGGAACGGGCATGCGCCCCGTGCCCACGGGGGCCGTGGGTGGAGCGCCCGGCGGGGACCGGAGCGCGAGCGCGGTGCGCCTCCTGCCTCCTGCTCCTGTCTCCTCCGCCTCCTCCCGCTCACTCTGCCTCTTCTTCCTGCCTCCCCCCCTCCTGCCTGCCTCCTCCTCCTATCTCCTCCTGCTCCTTCGCCTCCTCGTGCTCTTCCCTCCTCCCTCCTCCCTCCTCCTCCTTCTGCTCCCTCCTCCTGTTCCCTCCTCCTCCTCCTCCTCCTCCTCCTCCTCCTCTTCGGGTGCGCGGGGCAAGCCGCTCAGACGCCTCAGTGCAGCTCGCCGACAAAGCCAGCGCAATCCGTTGGTCGGATTGCCACCATGAAGTGGGGATCATATCTTTGGAGATTCGGTGGGGAAATCAAATCACAACTGACCCGCCGAAAGGCACCTTCCGCTCAGAGTATTGACTTAATCCCCCTCTGGAGACCGAAAACGGCAAAAGCACACACCAAAACCTAAAAATCGAAGATCCCCAACACTCGACGATGACGATGACGACGGCGGCGACTGCGGACGACGACGGCCCTGAACCTTTCTTCTGGGAGGCGCTCTGGCCAGAACTGGAGGTTTCGGATACTCTCCCGTCTGATCTCTGGATACTCTCCGGGGCAACGGCAAGTGGGGAGACTGGCTGAAGGGAAACTGCACCGACACCCAATCGCCCCTTCATCACAGAGAAGTGCCCGACCATCGGCCCCGCACGGGAGCGTGTGGTTTCGCTGGTCCATCGGCGATGTCTCGCCGGCTCCAGGTCGATGCTGCTCCCTTGAGCCGGTCCCTTCTTATCCTTGCACCTCAGCTGCAGGCCCCTGTGGGAGGTTTTCGGAGGTCTCCTCACCCCCGAAGGCTTGCCAGCAGCGCGCCGAAGAACCGCCAGCTGGTGGGAGCCGTGGCCCGAAAACAGACCAACTCGCATCGAGACAGAGTAGTCATGGAGGCTTCAAGCAATTTTCAACCTTCTGGGGCCCCCACTGGGCCCTGGGACCGTCGAAAAACGGCTCGGAATAAAAAGCTTGTGATCTTTTGGGGCCCACGCTGCACAAAGATCAAGATCGAGGCGTCTGGGCCTTTGTGAGCTGCTGGGGGGACCTCGCACCGCCGCGGCTCCACGGGGTCCCTGCGGCGGCGGCGACGACGACGGCCACGACCTCAGCGACGACGTCGACAACACCAACGACGACGGCTGAGGCGGCGAGAACCTCGACGACGGCGACGACCTCGACGACGTCGACGACAACGGCGACGGCCTCGACGACGGCGCCGACGACGGGCGAGGGCCTGCGGGGCCGAGGGCCTGCCGGAGCCGCGCGTTCATGCCCTGCAGGAGCTCCAGCCGCCGCTCAAGGGCCTCTGCAAGACGAAGCCAGGGCGAGGATGACTTCGGGCAAGGATAAATCGAGTCTCTGAGATCTGGCGGCTCTGGTCAGGGGTGAGCGAGGGGAGGACACGAGAGGGCGAAGGCCTTCTCAGGGGGCGCCGGAGCTTCTCAGAAGCCCTCGCGCCTTCTGAGAGGCTTCCTCCGTCTTCGGAGAGGGCTTCCTGTGTCTTCGGGTGGTGATAAATCTAGGTCGGGCATGTCCTCCTACAGGCGGATTCTGGGCGACAGATGACAAATAGTAAATACATGCCCCCAAATGGTCAAACATACTAGAAACATTCCCCCATACAATTTCAAAACGATGTTTGAAAATTCCTCCTGTAGAGGGACATGCCCGACGTAAGGCTCGGGTACGGCAGGCCTAGGATCGGGATAAATCGCTCCAGAGCGTTCCGGAACGCTCTCAGAGCGTTCAGGAACGCTCTGGAGCGGCCGCGGCGCCCGATACATCCTCCAAACCCGCGGATTCTCAGAGATTTCGAGTTATCCCGATGCGATTTTGTCCCGATCCTGGCGTCGTTTTATCGGGCGCCGCGGGCTTCTCTCAGCGCTCCGGAACGCTCTGAGAGCGTTCCGGGACGCTCTGGAACTGATTTCTCCTCGTCCTAGCCCCGTTCGGGCCTCCCCGCTCGGCCCGAGCGCGCCTGGCCGGCCGCCGGCTGCCCGAAGATCGAGGCTGGGCCAGGACAAGTTCGTCTCGTGCCGACCCCAGCGCTGGTTCCCAGGGCTGAACCTAAACGGTGTTTTACGTTCTCGTTTGGTTTTCGTTTTGCCCCTCGTTTTGTCTCCAGTCCGCCTCTGCCGCAAAACGAAGTCGAAACGAAAACGGCCCACGAAATCGCCAAAACACCGTTTGGGTCCAGCCGTGTTGTTTCCTGACGCTTGGGAAATCGTTCCACCCGGAACGATCGGCCGCTTCCGAAACGTCAGATCGTTCAACGCCGACCGAACTCGGGCCGCCCGCGGCGCTCCACGTTGGACGCCGGCGGCGGGGTCGCTGCAGGTCGACGCGACACGAACACATCGCACCGAGGTCCGTCCTTGGAGGGCCGAGGTCTCTGAGTATTTTTTAGCACTCAGACGTGGCACAGTTCGCGTGACGGTGTTTGTTGATGTAGAATTTTGAGCCTTCTCTTGAAAGCTGGCGGCGGGGTCGCTGCAGGTCGGTCGACACGAGGTCTCTGAGTATTTTTTGGCACTCAGGCATGGCACAATTCGTGTTACGGTGTTTTTTGGATGTCGAATTTTGAGCCTTCTCGCCTCGTCGGGTTTCTGGCACCCTGAGACGGCGCCGTGGTGCTCGCAGATCGTGCCGTGAAGGCGGACGAGGCCTCCATGAGCTGCCCAAGACGGCCTCTACGGGCTAAATCGGGACACTTCTCGTCGCCGCAGCCAGATGCGCTTTACAATTCTAGTCAGCAAACACCCCTGGAATGGTCCCGTCGATATCAAGGATCCCCGAGGCGGATGCGGGCCTCCGGGCCCCGGGACCATCTGATATCGATCCAGGACCAGAAACTGCCTCCAGGGAAGAGGTCGAGTTTCTGATCGGCGGCGACCAAAGGGGAGGAATGAGAAGGAGAAGGCCTTCTCAAAAGGCGGCGGGATTTCTCCGAAGCCTTCCGGCCTTCTGAGAAGTTTTCTGTGTCGTCGGGGGATGTTTCGAAAACTTCTTAGAAGGCTGGGGGACTTCTAAACCTTCTGAGAATCGGCTACACGTAAGAGCGACCCTTGGTAAGAGTGGCCGTTGGTGCGCGGACTACGGGGGCGCAAGGTGGCTAAATCCAAGCGCGCAATCAGCCGCTATCGCGTCGAGCTCAGCGATCGGGGGGGCCCGGGTGAGCCCGCACCAGCGGTCACTCGGGCGAAGGGTCACTCTCACGTCTACAATCGACCCGTATCATAAGGACGCACGATACGGATGCAAGGGCCTTGGAAGGCCGTTTCGGAGCTCCTCGAGCGGGGAGAGGCCAACGAAAGTGGCCCAGGAGAGACCGATGAGGCAAGGATGCAACAGTACCCTTGTGAACATTGGCCATCCTTACTATGCGGGTTGACCGTAGTCGAGAGGAGGCCCGCCCCTTCATCGGCGATGCATCGGCGACGTCGGCGTGAAGCAAATCGGGCTCCGCATCGAGCCACATCGGCGATGCATCGGCGATGTGGCGCGCTCCTCCGACCCCACCTACTCGGATCCCATCTGGGAGAGGCCCAGGGAGAAGGCCCGCCCCTCGTCACTTCCCCCCAGAGATCGCCGCCCGAGGCGCGAGGCGTCCTCGGCAAGCCTTGCGCCCCCGATGCCGCCCCAGCCGCTGCGCGAGGCCCGAAGGCTTCTCTCCGCTCCCCGGCCGGGCGGCTCCCGCAGGCTGGCCGCCGCACGGCTCGAACGTCGAGGCTTCGAGGAGCGAGAACGTCGACGTCGACGTCGTCTCTGCGAAGGCTTTCGGGGCTCTGAGGCCCGACGCCGCGGCACAGGTCGCAATCACCGCTGGAAGCCATGACTGGGAACCTCGGGCCCTGAATTGCAGCGGCCAGGGTGTTCTGTGAGTCCCCTCGGCCGCACAGGCCGTATCACACTGACCCTTCAGATGGCCAAGCAACGCCTGACCTTTTAGCATCGATGGATATGTATGCCATGCGGCTCTACATAATCGCAAGCATGCGCGCACGCATGCTGCTGGACGGGGAAAGGGGTGCCCTCCTCGCACCCTCCTCCTCGCCGCCCGCTTCCTGATCCACCTCTCCGTCCTGCTCTTCCCGCTGCTGCCCCCCGTACGATTTGCGGTTCGCCTGGGGCCCCCCCGCGTTATGCGGTGTCTCCGCCCCGAGCTTCAGGAGGAGGAGGAGGAGGAGGAGGAGGAGGAGGAGGAGGAGGAGGAGGAGGAGGAGGGAGGAGGGAGGAGGGAGGAGGGAGGAGGGAGGAGGGAGGAGGGAGGGAGGAGGGAGGAGGGAGGAGGAGGAGGAGGAGGAGGAGGAGGAGGGAGGAGGAGGAGGAGGAAGAGGAGGAGGAGGAGGGAGGAGGAGGAGGGAGGGGTCAGAAACCAATGCGGGCAACTTGAAGGCTGACCTTGGCGCGTCGGCGGTCGCTCGACGCGCCTCTGGCGCGCGCACTGTCGAGAACGACGAGAACGTCCCCCTTCAAATGAAGGGGCCCCAGGACACACAAATGAATACACACAAATAACATATGCCCCATATTTTCACATATTTTCTGGGTTTCTGTCTTCCAGCCCACTGCCCATATTTTCCCATATTTCCCTGGGAATCGACGATTAATTGCGTCTGTGTGTGTTTTTCCCCTCCTGATCAAAGTCGGCGGGTAAAGCCTTCGCAATATAGTGCTGCCGGAAAAGTTGACATCCGTGGGCTTGCACCTGGATCAAGGTCGGAGAGAACACGACGTTCACGAGCGGCATGGACGCGCATGCGTATTCAGGACAGATTTTGCTGGCGAGATCGAAGGAACGCAACACGAAGTAAACTGGGAGAGCGAATTCGGCGAGCGTGGCACGGATTGAATGATCATTGCCACGCGCGCACAAATCACGTATCAATTCGCATGCGGCTTCGATTATCTCAATCAACGGCCACGGCGATTCTCTTCCTCTGGCTCCCGTGCTTGCCCTTGACGGAACAACAGGTAGAGTCTCTGTATGCCCTTGAAGTGAAAGTGCTTCGTTTGGTTGTTGGCTGGGACCAGCCGGCGGCGAAACCCGCCCACCGCGTGTCCCTTTTGGCGCACCAATGGCCCCATAAGGGGGCTCTGGCCTGGTGGCAAGGTTCGCACGCGGCTCCCCGCCCACCGCACGTCCATCTCGGCGCACCCCTCACACGTTCTGGCGGCCCCATCGGGAGCACCACCGAAGGCCCCAGTGGCAAGGATCGCACGCGGCTCTCAACCTACCGCATGTCCGTCGGCTGACACCATGCAGCGCATGAGGAGAGAATAAACACCACCCTCGTGAATTTCCCAATCGGAAAATGGAGCGCGCGCTCTTTTCTGCCGCTGGCTAGTCAGACAGGCCTAGAAGGCAACTGCTTCCGAAAATGACTGGGTGCATTGGATGATTGGCTGAAGACCGGCGCACGACAGGTGCCTCGAGGAAACCAAGAAGATGGGATTGACCAGCCCGCAGATGGCACGCGTTAAGTTTTGAACAAGTCATCTCGCTGGGCTGCCAGCGTCGCAAACGAGACAGGAAACGCAGACGTAGAGTACTGCCTGCTGACGTGAGGACCGCCTCTTTTCACACAGTTGTTCAAAGCTGGCTCACTCGTTGTGCACATCCCTTACATCACACGTGCAGTCCTTTCTCGTTTTTCCAGATCGCGCCCCGCCCGTTGCCTGGCCAACCTTTTGGTTTGACTGGTCTGCTGTCTGTCCGCTCGACTAGCTCGTTCCTGCCCGCCGTCGTCATCGTCGCGCCAGTCCCCATCGTCGCCTATGTCGTCGTCGTCGTTGCCGCCGCCGCCGCCGTCGCGTTCGTCGTCGTCGTCGTCCTTGTCGTCGGCGCGTGTTCGTCGTCGCTCTTGTCATCGTCGTTTGCTGGTGCGCACGGGTGACAGAGGGGATGCGGGGGGGAAGATTAAACAAGGGCTCCCAACTTCGCGCTTCGCGCAGCGCGAAGCGCGAAGTGCGAATAACTTCGCGCTCTCGCGCCGCCTCCCAGGGGAGAAGAGGAGGATGGGGAGGACCTGGAGCCGAACCGCGAAGCGCGAAGCGCGAATAACTTCGCGCCCTCGAGGGCGCCCTTGATTGAACGGCAAACGGCGGGGCCCGGGTTCTGGAGGATGGGGACCTGACCGCCTGTGTGCTCCGGCCAACATGTTCAGGGGAATCCAGCCGTTGTGACGAGAAGCCTCCTGGAGCCCCAGTGGACCAAGACAGATGCAAACATATATCCTCGAAATTCGATCTTCGAAGTTCGAGAAATTCGATCTTCGAAATTCGATATATCCTCGAAATTCGATATATCCTCGATATATCCTCGAAATTCGATCTTCGAAGTCAGATCTCCCCGCTGCCAGGGCGGATGCTCGCGTGGCTCCCGAGGTGTGCGCTCGCGTGCCCCGGCCTGCTTCAGGGAGTCCAGACAGGCGGCGTCGCAGGCCCTGGTGACCTCTCTCGGGCGCGGGAGGCCGATAGGAGAAACGCATGGGCTCGCCCGCGCGCTGACATGGATTACGGATCGACTGATCGAAGAAGGCACACACACACACACCGAAACGTGAGGTCAATGCCGCGATGATTTGGCGAGGGAGCGCGCCAAGTCTTTACGAAAGCGTGTGTGGGAACTGAACAGGGGCTGCCTGTTCTCGAATAGCAATTGGCTGGAAAGGCCAGCCCAGCGATGAACATTAGCAGAGCCACACAGCATCCCATTGGCGCCACATTCGGCCAGATGATCAGCGCGCTCGTTCAAATATTGCCCGGTATGGCTTTCCACCGTCCTGAAAACAATATGATGACCTGATCGAATATACGACGAACACGAAACACGAATCGAAATTTCGTCCGCCCCTGGGAGCGCCGCTGCGAGCCATACTCGATGATGATAGGTGGTGAAGCTGGCAAAATGGCAGCATGATCACGAACCCCGAGGCAAAGCGAAACATAGATCAGAAAACTCACCAATATTGTTGGAATGATGATCTTCACCGATCTATCCAGGCGCATTCTGGCCCAGGACGATTGGCCCGCAATAATCCCGGAGCGAGGCCGAAGGGGATGAAGCAACAGTAAAGCCCCAACCAGAATGCGCAGCGCACCGCCTCTTCCCCTCCCCCGTTCCCTCATTCCCCCTATCCTGCTTCTTACCCCAGGGGAGCCCAGAATCGAATCGACAAGTCGGATCGGCGATCGAAATAAGTCGGGTCGGCAGACATCGGCAGCCGAGTCGGGAAAAGTCGAATCGGCGGAAATCGGCAGGCTAGTATGTGTCCAATAAGAAATCGGAGCCCAAATCGGAATCCGAAATCGAATCGAATCGGAATCGGAATCCATCGGAGTCGAATCGAATCGAATCGGAGGATTCGAAACGAGCCCTGTTACCCTGCCCGACCACTTGGGGCGGTTGGACCTGCAAAGCAACAGGTGCTCCCGACTCCTTGGCCCGACTCGCATGCCGCGGCCGCCAGCCTCCGAATTTCCATGGCATCTCGCCTCGCTTCCCAGACAACTGAAGGGGAACTGGGACACACAAATAAATACACACAAATAAAAATATCTCCCATATTTTCCCATATTTTCTGGGTTTTTGTCTTCCCCCCCACTTCCCATATTTTCCCATATTTTCTGGGAATCGCCGATTAATTGTGTCTGTGTGTTTTTTCCCCTCCTGAACAACCTGGCGCCAGAACCGATCCCGCATTCCGCGACCGCCAGGCCCCGGGTGTCCCCGAGCTTCCCGCCTCGCGTCGTCGACCCATGGCGACATGCTCGACGACGAGCACAAGTTCGGGGCATTCGTGCTGCGCCTGGTTGCACAACATACACAGGCAACATGCTGGATTCAACATCGTGAGGCATAGACACTCACGCCCGTGGTGCCATCCTGTGCGTGCGAAGACACATGACTACTCTGGATGGGGTATGTATCAAAAAGGGGTGATTGACCTCCCGACTGAGCTTGCCCAATCCCGCCCCGTCCGTCCTCCTCCCCCTCCTCTTACTTCAATCCCTCTCAACCCGTGCCGGCAACACGTGCCAAATCCCTAGAGCAGATCTAAGGGGGGGCGATTATTGTCCCATCCAGAGTAAGCTATTCGCAACCCAGGCGTATCAGGCATGCAGAACGCCCAGCACTAACAGGAACCAACTTGATACATCACGATCCCACTAACCATACATACATATGTGTATATATATACATCGGCGTGACGAGAGAGGTTCATTTGAAACCTCGAGGGGCCGTTGACGTGCCCAGTCGTCATAAGCCCCCCCTTCCCCCCTTAGAAGCCGAACAAGAAGAGCTTCGTCGGGCTTCCCCCAACGGCGGGATAACTAACTAGGGCCTTGGGGCCCTGGCTGTTAGTAATCTAAAACAGACTCGGAACATGAAAACCATCGTCGGGCTTCCCCCAACGGCGGGATAATTAACTAAACCCTTGGGGCCATGGCTGTTAGTAATATACACCAGATTCCGGGTATGCTCATGACCATTTTGACGTAACAAATAATCATCCAAGCCTTTCCCGGATCCCGGCCCAATGATTCCCATGAGTTTCCACGTGCGGATCAATTCTCCCAAGGGCGTCCCGTCTTTCACCGTTCGGTGATTTCGGGTTGTCACGGTAAAGCATACACAACACAATGACGACACCAATATCAGGCCACCCGAACAGGCACGGCCCCCCTAACACACAACTGATACACATGCCACATGTAATCTGCATGCGTAAACAGCATAGGTGTACATGATACGCGCTCAGCATGCGCAAGGAACAGGCATCACACTAAGACAGCACACACACACACACGCATGAACACAATTTGTGCACACATGCGCACACACATACATATAGGTATATGTACATGCATATATACATATATCACGCGTGTGCGTGAACTTGTACAGACGCATCGGTAACCACTCTCACACGCACACGTGCATCTACACACATATACTTATATAAACGCATGTATATGATACATATATAGAAGGCGAGATATGGAGAGATAGAGAGAGAGATAACGAGATAACGATATATATAGAGAGAGAGAGAGAGAGAGAGAGTAACACAAGAGAACAGGCATGCGCCGGAGCCCTTTTGGGCGCATTGCCTAAATTTCCTGCGCCCGGGTGGGGGTCGGCTCGTGGCCATCTTCGGGGGCACTGCGGACCCTCTTGGGGCCTTGAGGGTCCGTGCGTGGGTTCTCCTGGTCCGTCTTGGGGGCCTCTTCGGCAATTCGGGGGCCCTTGGGGTTCTCGCGGGGACCATCTTGGAGACATCTGGGGCCGACTTCGGCTTCTGGTCGCCCGAAACTGATAGCAACAACCACGCAAGCAACACATACTTTTAGCAGGTAACGCGCGTACCACACAACTTCAACTTCAACTGGCACACACTGGAACCATACGAGAACATGTGCGTGCATAATGCGCAAGTTCATCGTACGGACGAACATCGCGAACGCCCATAGTAAGCATGCACATCTTATACATTCGAAACGTACATAAGAAACGCATGCACTTACCACATGCGCACACGGCATGTACGTAGCACCCCGCAATTGCGGATAAGAGTGAGAGGTGGCGGGGACGTCGGAAGTCTGTGAGGCTTTGAAGAAGCCGGCCGCAAGCGATTCATTTTCACAAGTTACTCCAGATTTCGTAATAAAAGGGAGGGGGTCTGGACCCTCCAAGACAAGCCATTTCAGACCCCCCCCCGTGGGAGAACCCTCCAAAACATCGTCCCCAGACCCCACCAGGCCCTCCAAGATAGCCTGGAAGAGACCCCCCCTGAAATGAGACCCCCCTCCCTTTATTACGAAATCTGGAGTATACAACGAACTCGCCGCAAGCGCTGACTGTGTCGCTGTGGCTGGGTCGCGGGGTGGGTCTCGATCGGGTCGCGGGTGGGTCGCGGGCCGGGTCGCGGGTGGGTCGCAGGTGGGTCGCGGGTGGGTCGCGGGTGGGTCGCGGTGGGGATGACGACAAACAAACAACAACAATCCGCACCGCATAACCTCATTTCGGCCACGCGCCCAGGGACAGTGAATGACTGTTCGGTCCCTTCAGTCGGATTAGATACACAATTGTCGCCCACACATGACATGTATGTTTGTGTCTATACATATATAATTACATATTTATAGCTATACGTATGTATATATATATATATATATATATTTGCATGCATGCATGTCTATAACTATGTATACATATTATCGTCAATGCTAGAACAACACAGCATCACAACGAACACACACAATACGCAAACATCATACGTAACATATGTGCGTAATGAATCGGTGTGCGTGACGACCAGACGCGCATAACTGACGTAGCACAGACATCACATGCATGCATCACATCTGGCACTCGTGCACACATAACATCACACACACGTACAAGGCATTAACGTTTGGTAGCACTTCGTCATTTCAGCGCTTTAGCAGCAACACCTCGCTGACATTCAGCAACTCAATCGAAAGAGCCTCCTGTCCTCATGAGAAAGGGAAAGACATGGGATAACACGGAGAGTGCCTTATTGCCAGAACTCGCTGCCTGCCGATGGATCCCCAAACTCGAGAGGCAGACCACCCTTCGGGAGTGACACGGGGCGACGGATTTAGGAAGGAGACTCCACTGTGCAATGCGCGCATTCGGCCGTATCTCAACGCTCTCTGCAATGCTGCGCCCTCCCCTCGGAGGGACCGCGACGCCCTCGTCTGCTTGGCCTCGGTGACGAAAGGGTGGTGGGCGGCAGGAGGAGAAAATTATATGCAAATGAGGATTGCGCAAACAGCGGACTGGGGAGAATACGCGAGAATGACGAGGGACAGCAGTAGCAAGGCGAGCAGGATGAGGTATGGGGAAGGCGGGTAAATCAGGCGGAATCCACTGGACGGTCTTGCCAGGGTATAGCATGCCGCGACCACGCACTCGTGGAGACAAGAGCTAGCGCCTCTCGAGAAGGTTCCCGCATGCATCCGCGCCTCAAACAGACAACCCGCCCGGACGAACCAAGGGCTTTTCGGCTTCCCCAGATCTCCCTCTCTGCTGCCTCTGCCGGGTACCTTGTCAACAGATCCTTCTCCGTGCGAGGCCACTATCAGAATTACGAGGTACTGGCCATGCTGTGTGAGCTTGCGCATTCCCTGGCCGCCCGAGGTGGCTCCGAGGCAGGGTAGGACAGGGCCATCACCCTTGCACGCCAGGCAAGCGAAGATCCGCAAGGCGGGTTCAGAGGATTTCAGGCCGACTCTATGACTTAGGTCGGGCATGTCCCCCTACAGGCGGATTCTGGACGAAATATGAAGATACACAACAAAAACCAGACAATAGTCATACATACAAGAAACAACGCCCCTCTAAGATGTTTGACTATTTTCGAATATTTCTCCTGTAGAGGGACAGGCCCGACTTAATCCTAGACCCTCCCTGGCATTCGCGAAGAGCACCGAAGACGACCCTTGGCGCGAGACGCCCAACGTTCCCCCAACGTGGCAAGTAGCATTAGGTCGGGCATGTCCTCCTACAGGCGGATTGTGGAAGAAACAATAAAGTAGGTAAAACATATTATAACATAATCAAGCATAATCAAACCATCATCCCCAGACTATTTTTGACAATGTTGGATATTCTTCCTGTAGAGGAACGTGCCCGACTTACGAGTAGCAGCACGGGGGCCTGAACGGAACTTCTGGTGGGCGCCTGCGGGGGGACAGAAACATCGAGAACAACTTGTCGTTGTACGCGCGTTTGCTTCTCCTGTGAGCCCCAAGTCTGAGCCCTATCGCAATCCGGCAAGGCTCTGACGGCCCGCCAAGCGTGCCCGAAGGAACGCCCCAAAGGAGCTCCAAGACCGGCCCAAGAGCGAAGATCCGTGGGTCGCACGCCCCCAGATGGCGCCGAAACAAGCCCGACCGGCTCACAGATGGCACCAAGGCTAGGTCGGGCATGTCCCCCTACATGCGGATTCAGGACGAAAAATGTAAGATAGCCCAACAGAGACTCCCAAATGATCAAAACAAGTCAGAAAGTCGTCCCCAGACTATTTGTTGATATACTTTTGGATCTTCCTCCTGAAGAGGGACAGGCCCGACTTAACACCAAGGGGGCACTGCCGCCCGGAACGACTCTCAGCAGGCCTCGAGGCGGCCCAGGGAGCGCCCCGCCCGACGCGCCCGCCTGGGCAGCAGAGGTAGCGACCTGGGACGGGCTCAAGGACTCCTCCCTTGGATGCCTGGGAATGGGCACCCACACCAACACATGGGTTTGCCTCCACAGGGGGAAGAAAATCCTAGATTTCGGTGTTGGTGGTAATCTTTCGGCCACCTGGGAAGACAGAATATTACCACCATCCCTGAGATCGGGATCTTCTTCCTTCGGTGGAGGCACACCGCCGATATTGGCGTTGATGTCAATCTCTAGGCCTGCGACTCCCCGCCCGACCACAGCTGGCCCCACTCAATACTGGGGAGGCACAGATCGACGGTTCAGAGACGGGGTCTTGAAGCATGCGGCCCTCAAGACAGGAACGGGATCCCAAGCGGAGCCTCCACCGTTTGAGGCAACTCGTCCGTGTAAGGCCCCCTCCCTCGTGGTGCAAGGTCGGAGGGGTAAAGAGGGACAGGTGCGAAGGGCGCAGGGCTCAGGCAAATTGAGAGAGGCGGTGCGTTCTGGGGCACGCTGCAAGCGTTGTCAGAATGACTCTCTGGGCCCAGGTGGCAGCGACGCAGGGGTGAGACAGAGGGGCGTCGGGGCGACGGAGGAGAGAGGACGGCGCTGGCCGTTGCAAAGGAGCCTGCGGGGCCCTGGGGGCATCGCCGGTCCAGCGGGCCGAAAGCGTGCCAGGATCTAGGGCACAACTTGGGAACTCAAGCGCACAAATCCGCGCCCGCAGCGCGGCTCCCAGGGGGGTCCCCTCCTCCTCCTCCTCCTCCTCCTCCTCCTCCTCCTCCTCCTCCTCCTCCTCCTCCTCCATCTCCTCCTTCACCTCTTTCACCTCCTCCTCCTCCTCCTCCTCCTCCTCCTCCTCCTCCTCCTCCTCCTCCTCCCCCTCCCCCCCCCCAGCGGGGATCAGTGGATGGTAGGCGGCAGGCCCCCGGAACGGGGCACGAAACAGGCCCACGAAACATGACACACACGATCCCAACGCGGCCAGAGATGGTCCGAGAACTCCACGAGAACCGGGGAAGGCTCCAACCCATCAAAATCCCGACACATGCAAATACATGGCGCATGTACTTCACAATGCATATATATATATAGATATAGATATACGCGTGCATTTGTATGCATATTTGTATATCTATGCGTATACATATATATATATATATATATATATATGTATACATACACTCACATGTAAAAATATGTGTTATCAATCTCGCCCTTTCGCTTTCGGTGCGCTTTTGACGCGTCCAGGTGGCCCAAGGTCGCTCATTACAGATCCAAGCGGAGTCCAGGAAGGCTCCGAGAAAGCTCATAAGACTCCGCTGAGCGCCCCACGAACACCACACGAGGGCTCCGAATGAGCTCCACGAACAGCCCAAGAAGGGATATCAATTGGTAAGATGCTGCATCATGGCCCCGAAACAACCTGGAACGAGAGGGTGGCCCACACCCATATAAACTAATGCTTTTCAGTAATTTTGGCTGTTTCTCCTTCTCGCTTTCGACGTGCTCCTGAAGCCTCAAGTTGGATCCCAAATCGCGCAAGGTGGCTCCGAGTGGAGCCCACACGCATTCCAACAGGGCACCATCCTACCCATCAAAACACGATACTACAGTGACGCTCTCCCTCTCAACACGGACGCTTCGTTGTCGACGCTGCTGGAAGGCGCGGCAGGGAGATGGGGGGACACGCAGCGCACAGAATGGTGAAATGTAGCTCTCGCCTGGGCGTCACGCATATGTGAGGGGCAACGATCGGGGGGGACTGGCACAGGGGGGGATGCATCGACCTGGATTGGGCGATACCTCGCTGATAGATCGGCGATAGGCCGCCGATAGTGAATCCGCACTTTCCTTGGCAGGTTGGGGCTATCGGGCCCCTATCGGCGATCAGTGGGCGATTGGGGGTCGATGCATACCCCCCTATGCCATTCCCCCCCTATCGTTGCCCCTGAAGATGGTTTCTGTAGAATGCACTCCCGTTTTGGGCCCGGCGCACCTCCGTCGCTCGACAACAAAATATGTCTGCCGCGGGGCTGTGCGCGAGCGGGCGCAACAACGCCGCTCTCGCACGAACGCCGCGAGAAGATTCCGCCTGACAGCAGCGCTCCCTCTACAGTCGGACTTGATTGGACAGGACGCGCGAGAGGACACAAGACCCTTCCAAGGGCCACATTGCCGCAGGAATGTAGGAGGCAGGGGTCGCGAGACACAGGACACCAGGGTACTCTTGATTTGGGCGGGTCGACCTACTAATCAGGGCCGACTGTAGGGCGCGCGGCGCGAATGCTGCGTTCACCCATTGTGCCGCACGTCTTGTCCGCGCGCGAGCGGGGAGCCCCTCAGTGGCCCGCCGCCGCGAAGAAACGCGACCCATGGCTTCCCCGCACGAAAAGTCGTCGGAAGCGATGGGAACGCTTTCCCTTCGCCAGGTGGGAGCGCACGCTGGTCTCAACATCCAGCTGTGCCAGGACCGATGATTTTTCCATGTTCTGAGGGAAAAGGTGGGAGCGAGCGCTGACTCGTTCGGGCTGACTGGCTTGATCCTCATCCTCACTCCCATTTCCTCGTCCTCTCCCCATGTTCCTCGTGTATCCTCCTTCTGTGCTCTCCTTCTTACTTTTGCTTCTACCACCTTACCTCATTTTCCTACTGCCCTCCGCACTCCGACGTCGCAAGTTTTCTGGGAGGAGAGAAGAATAAGGAGGAGGAGGAGGCGGAGGGGGGAGGAGGAGGAAGATAAGGATAAGGAGGAGGATGATAAGGATGAGGAGGCGGGGGAAGGATCGATGATCTGGGTTTCTGCCCTTCTTGATGTTGTTTCGGGGCTCGGAGCGCCCCCCTCCTTTTCAGGACCAACTTCTGCGTTCTGGGGCCGTTGCTACTGTTGATGGCCCAGAGCCCGATGCGGCCGCCTCGGTTTCTTCGTGACACAAGAGATCTGAGCCGCACTCTTCAAAATATCGACTCCCCTCTCCCGGGGTGACTGGTCAGACTCTCGAGTGGAATCCAGCTGTGGCGACAAAGAGCCTTCTGGCGGCCCAGCAAGGGCCAAACACGTCGGCCCTGAAGAACTCCTCCTCCTCCTCCTCCTCCTCCTCCTCCTCCTCCTCCTCCTCCTCCTCTTCCTCCTGGAGGTCTCCTGAGATCTCTCAAGGCCCAGGCGTCCCTGCATTCCCCCAGAGGCCCCTGGAGGCTCAAAACGATGCCCAAATCTCGATGCTCGATCCCCCTCCTCCTCTTCCGCCAGGCCTCCGAGGGCCACCTCGCACGCCTCCCAGGGCCTCCAGACGCAAAGACCATGACAGGCGCATCGTCCATGAGCGAGTCCCCTCCGGCTGCTCCTCCTCCTCCTCCTCCTGCTCACCCTCGGCGGCATGCGGCGCCCCAGAGCCGCCTCCGAGGAGCTGTCTCCTCCTCTTCTCGCCCAGCGCCTGCCGCGCGCTGGCGGAGGTGGAAGGCAGCGTCCCCGGTGACATCTTGCACGAGCGGGAGGCGAGAAGACAGGAGGAGAGAGGGAAGAGCATTCAACCAAAAGGTTCAATGCGATGCCGTCCACGCGGCTCAAACACCAAGACCACCAACCTGAACGATGAGATTGCGAAAACAACACCGTCAACCCTGGTTTATCTAGCCTCGTTCAAAACCTGTCACATGTAATGGGAAGCTACATTTAAACCCTGCATGCGAGAAACAAAACACGCCATCGCCGAAGAGATCAGTGTGTAGCACTTTGTACACTCCCGCAGGAGGACGAGAACGGCAAAGGTAAACTGATATGTAAGTGGGGGGTGCAGAGCAGCGTCGGCAACGGTTGGAGGAGCGCCAAGAGGAGCAAGAGCTGGGAGCAGGGAAGAGGGGGAGAGGAGGGCTGGGCGAGTACGATGAGGGAAGGTCGGAGGAAGGAGACGAGAAGGGGGCTACTGGAGGGAGAGGGGTATTTTGTTCGCCGCCGAGCTTCGCCGTAAGCGCGCGTTTTCCAAGAAGAGGGGGGGAAGGGGGGGAGGCAGACGCGAGGGAGGGCGAGGAGGAAACAAGGGAGAGACGAGGAGAGGAGGAGGAGGAGGAGGAGGAGGAGGAGGAGGAGGAGGAGGAAGAAGAAGAAGAAGAGGCATGGGGCACGATGGAGGAGGGAGTGAGGTTATCCGGAGGAGAGGGGGCGAGCCCGATAACCCAGTTTGTTGCTGGACCCTAAACAAACAGTCTCGTAGAATTTCCAACCGAAACAGGCTTGAACGCATGCCAAGAGGCTCGGACAGGAGCGACAGATATGATGGGAGCTGTCACTTCTCAGCCAGAATGAACTATGCAGTGGTCACTCCCGTCAGTGTCCACCACGAATGCAGCCCCAGACACTACGCTGGTTGACTGGGCACGAAAACCAAGAGGCTGCGAACCTGCAGAGTTTGCAAACTCCCGCAGTACATAGATGCAACACCACCTCTGCACGTGCAATGAGCGCACGACAAACTACGCTATAGGAATCGCAGCACGGCAATCAGAACGATAAACGCACTTACACGACCTGGCTGACGCCTCGGCCAGCACGATCACGCATGCCACCAACACCGAGGCTGCCGATCGTGAATCCAGCTAGGCTCAACTTAACCGCATCACACTGGCTTGCCGTGCCCACAGAAAGTCCGCCCGAAACAAGCCTGAGCGCAAACCAACTGCGCCTCTGCACCATCAACATTTGGCAACAACGACAACGGAACTTGCGCACAATCAATCTTGCATCGCACGACCCGTCACCGATCATGAGGCCGTGACCCATCACAGCGGCGTTCTCAAGCGAGGCTGGAACAACATCCCCCACATTCAGAACGACCGTCTAAAGAGGAACCGACCACATGCTGCACGCAGAGGCTCGGATAGGAGCGAAATTTGTGATGGGAGTCGTCAATCCCAGTCAGAGCGAACTAGGCAATGGTCAGTCTCGTCACTGCCCACCATGGCTGCAGCCTCAGATGGTATGCTAATCGGATGGGCACGAAAACCAACAAGCTGCGAACAACCTGCAGCGTTTGCACATTCCGACAATACATAGATGCACCACTACCTCTACACGCGCAATCAGCTCGGGACAAACTACGCTATAAGAACCGCAACACGGTACTCAAAGCGAGATGCGCACTTGCACGACCTCGCCGACACCCTGGACAGCAAGGTCACGCCATGCACGCAAGGACCACCGAAGCTGCCGAGCGTGACTCCAACCTCCGCAACACACTGGCATGCCGTGCCCTTCCAGGATTGTACATCAGAAGCAAGCGCGAGCGCACAGCGACCGCGCCTCTGTACCACGAGCATTTGGCAGCTGAGACAGTGGAGCTTGCATCATCATCAGCCTTGCATCGCACGAACTGTCAGTCATCATGCGGCACTGGACCCACCACATCGACGTTCTCAAAGGAGGCCAGGGCAACGCCCCCTCATCCAAACCGACCTTCCAAACATGAACCGCCCACACGCTGCACACGGAGGCTCGGATAAAAACCAACGATGAGATTGGAATCGTCACTTCTCAGTCAGAGTGAACTAAGCAATGGTGAGTCTCGTCACTACCCACCACGAGTGCAGCGGTACGCTGATCGACGGGGCACGAAAACCAACACGCTGCGAACCTGCAGCGTTTGCAAACCGCGATCGTACATCCGCCACTATGCCCTCTGGAGCGTTGAGACGTGGTAGAATTCCAAGTGCAGGCTGGCAATGTGTCTGTAATCGTGTCGGCCAAGGCAGGCCACCAAGGCCGCCGCGATGGCCTGAGATGCCTCCAGATCGGCACAACATGGCCCCATGACAGCCCAATCTGGCCTCGAGACGGCCTAAGGGGCCCGCCCCAATACTGCCCTAGAGGGCTCCGAGCGGATCACCAGGAGGGCCCGAAGGGGAGAAACTCAGTGATTGCCCGTTGGTCTTTCCATGGGTTTCGTGTTCTCGCTGTTTCTCACTTCTGCCAGCCCAAGACGGCCGCAAAGGCCTCCAAGATGGCCCCAAGAAGCCCCTCAGAGAGCCCCAAGAGGTCCTCAAGATGGCCCAAGAGGCCTCCGATACGACCCCAAAGCGGCCCAACAAAACACCAAACATCCTTGAGATGACCCTTCAATCCCAAGAGGGCCCTTAGACATTCCAGAGAGGCCCCCAAGACGGACTCCGAACGCGCCAGACTGCCCAAGAGCGTCCTCAGACGGCCCAAGGAGCCGCCAAGAGGCCCTGTGAGGGCCCTCAAGACGCCCCAAACAAGGATCCAAGAGGCCCCAGAGAGGCCCCCAGAGGAGGGAGGAAAACGACGATGAACTCGAGGAGAGGCACCTGGCTGCATGTGTAGAGGTGTCACTGCGGTATCCAAGAGCCTACGGCGAGGTCCGCCACCGTGCCAACTCAACACTCTTAGTGGCGAATGCTCGAGGTCGCACAGAAAGCCGTAACGTGTGACACCTCGTGTCCTCAAGCTGGGTGGGGGGAACCATATCACGTGACTCGCTCTTCTGCGTCGTGTCGAGCTCGGAAGAAACTTCGCTGAACTAATCGTCGCAAGAACGAGATGCGCACGTTCACGACCTCGCCGACACCCCAAACAGCACGGGCACAACCTGCATGCCGATCTTTACTTCAGCTCGGCTCAACTTACACGCATCACATCGGCTTGCCCTTGCCCGCAGAAGGCCCACCCGAGACAAACGTGAGCGCAGGCCAACTGCGCCACTGCGCCACGAACATCTGTCAGCAGAGACAGTGGAACTGACGCCGCATCAATCTTGCATCGCATGACCCGTCACCGATCATGAGGCACGTGACCCATCACAGCTCTGCATGTGCGGGCAGCTCGGAACACACGGAACTGCAAGGATCGCCGCACCGCAATCAGGCCCAAATGCGCACTTGCACGACCTCGCCGACGCCCTGGACAGCAAGGGCACAGCATGCCTGCCAGGACCACCGAGGCTGCCGATCGTGGCTCCAGCTGCGCTCAGCTTACCCGTAGAAGGTCGACCCGAGACAAATGTGGGCGCAAGCCGACTGCGCCTCTGCGCCACGAACATTGGGCAGCAGAGACAGAGGAACTCGCTCAGCATCAATCTTGCATCGCACGAGCTGTCACCGGTCCAGAGGCACGTGACCCATCGCAGCCGCGTTCTCAAGCGCGGCTGTAGCAGCATGGCCCGCATCCAAAGCGACCTTCAAAGGAGGCGCCGCCCACCTGCTGCACGCGGAGGCTCGGATAGGAGCGAACGATGAGATGGGAGTCGTCAATTCCCAGTCAGAGTGAACTATGCAATGGTCAGTCTCGTCACTGTCCAATCTCGTCACTGTCCACAAACAGCCCCCTGAAAACTCCCCGTCGATGAAAATCAAAAGTAATGGCAAGGAGACTGAAGAGGGCCCCTGGAGGGGCTCCAGACGGCCCAAGAAAGAGAGCCGCAAAACAGCCCAGCAGGGTCCCCAGACTTCCAGAGGCCTCCAAAATCGCCCAGACGGACCCAGACGGCCCAGGAGGCCCCCAAGACAGCCCGAAAACGGCCTCAAGAGACCCTGAAGAAGGCCCACTCGGAACCCTCCTCAGGCCGAAAGAGTCACCCAAAGACTCCAAGGCGGATCCCGGACCCAGGGGTGGCCAATTGGGTTGCGACGGGGGGAGTTTTGGGGCCAGAAACCCTGTCGTCGGTGCACAAAGCAAGGTGGAGTCACAGCACACTGGTTGGTGCATGAATGGACGAACTGAACACGTTGCGGGGGGGTACGCCGCACTCGCAAAGAGATACACTATGAGAACTGATCGCATTCCCCATGGGAAAAGCGAGGAGGCTTGCAAAATAGCGCCGTCAACCTCTCAAGGCAAATTGTGCTTCCTCGTGTTCGCCACGACGCACGACGCTGCATATGATAGAAACAATTAATCTGGACAACACCTGGACACCCAATTCAGATTTTGGCCCCCCCCCTCCCAAAGATCTGATGGACTCCCGGTTCAGATTCTGGGCGCCTTTCCCAAGGGTCTGATGGACTTCCGGTTCAAATTTTGGGCCCCTCCCAGAGATGTCATGGACTCGCGGTTCAGAGTCTGGGACGGACTCCTGGTTCAGATTCCGAGCCCCCTTGCCACGGATCTGATGGACTCCCGGTTCAGATTTTGAGCCCCATCCACGGATCTGATGGACTCTTGGTTTAGATTCTGGCCCCCCCCAAGGATTTGACGGACTCCCGCTTCAGATTTTGGGCTCCTTTCCTTGGGTCTGATGGACTTCCGCGCTTCAGATCCTGGGCCCTCCCAAGGATTTGATAGACTCACGATTCAGATTCTTGGCCCATTTCCAGAAGGATTGGCCAGTGAATTAGATGCATCCTTTTACGTTCAGCAGCTGGTCGCTCCACCTTGCGTGCACATCCTTGGGCACTTGACCAGATAAGTGCGCTCGAGGCTGTTGCGTCTCTGGCATGCGCGCCAGTCTGATGCGTCTGCGTCGGAAAAAAT